TTGCCTCCCACCTTATAGTAATGTCCATGCTCAATAAGTTTTTAACTATCCAATATCAGCCCTGGTTTCACACGTTTGGAGAAAGGCAAGAGTTTTACCAACTGGCCCTTAACACACACTACCACACACGGAATCAGTTGTACCAAAGCATCGTTTTCTAAAAAAAAAAAGCAGTCTGAATTTTCAGTTTGTATTTTACGTTCACTTTCAAATGAAACTGGTAGGGACTAATTAAAACCTAGTCATCTCAAATGAACAGTTTTCTATTTTCTCCTAAATATACACCCGATACTCACCGACCTTTCAAGCCACACACATCCCAAAGGGCTGTCACCATTTACTCACTCAGAGATTCGAAGGCTCCGATGTCAGGGTCCGTGCGCTCGGAGGCAGAGCACTATCAATCGTTTGCGTAAACGCTGAGATGAGTCCGCCAGACCTTCCGAACATACCCTAAGGAAGCATTTGCACCTCTCCGAGCCTCCAATGCGCTCCGGACTCGGTCTCAGGACAGAGCGCGCGCGCGCGCCGCAAAGCTCGGCCCCAGGCGACTTTCCCCGCCGACACCCGCAGCCCCGCGGGCAGTCCCCCACCGCGCCGGCGCGCTCCCCACGGGCCCCGCACTCACACGCGCGACGAACAGCGTGGGAAGGCGGGGTCTGCGGTGGTGGCTACAGTCAGAGGCGGCAGGCGGCGCCGAGGCGAGCGCTAGTAGCGCGGACGCCGGCTTCATATCGCACACCTCTGGCCCCTCCCTTACGCCTAGGAATCTCTGGGGGTCAGTGCGTGCCGGAGGGCGGAAGGCGTGGCGCCGGCTGCCAGGCTGCGATAAGCGGCAGAGCTAAGCCCGCGCCCCCTGTGGTCCAGGTACCGAGTTCCGCACCGCATGCGGCCGCCCCCAGCCTGCTAGGCGGGAAAAAGGTGATAACTATGCTGAAGCACGCAAGGACAGCCCGAAAACTCCCTTCTCCAGGGCTCTTTCGAAATAGACAGTCGGCCCTGGCAATCACAGGACCCTACCATGGTTGATCAATACCATTTCTGGCCTGGATGGACTGAGTCTCTGCCGGTTGCGCGTGCCCCTAAGCACCACTGGACACTGACGCCTCGTCTTTTCAGTTTCGAACGTTGGCCACCTAGAGCAAGTAGGCGGTCTCCATTGAATGAGCGTCTGAGAATTTAGGTTTGTGAGCCCCAAAGCCAATAAAATCAGAAACTAAATCTATGGTGCTGATTTGCGGGCGGGCGGTGGAAGGGGAAGAGGAAAACTTTTTGAATGAAAATATTACTGGAAACAGTTAAAAGTATTTTTTTCACAATCCTGTAATAAACATTTCTTTGCAAGACGCTGATCGAGTGAAAGAGCTGGAAAGTGATTGTGCAGATTTACGAAAAGGGCTGGTTATCAGACTTTATGAGTGTCTGGCTCTGCTAAAATCTACCTGCTGCATCTACTCGCAGAAATTAGTGCTTGCATCTAGATAATTTCTGGTTTGTATTTACAAACAAAAATCATATTATCAGCTAAGTTTTTTAAAGCAACACTAGGAATTGCTGTTAATTCTTTACCTCATACAAGATAGGGTTGGCTAGGAGGCCTAGATAAGAAAATTGATTATACATTATATTTTAAAATATTAAAAATATACTGTATACTTTTTAAGGACTAAAGAGTATATATCTATGATGGGCCCAAACACTTGGGTGAAATTGTTTTTTGCATTAATCATCTGAGTCAGTTTAAAAACACTTATACAAATACATTTGTCATTTTAAGCCAAGGTTTGGAAAAATTCTCCAGAGCTGGTTCTTATAATAACTTTTTGCGTAATTGAAAAACACCCTCTAAAGAATATAATTTTATTGTTAGCAGTAAAGATGAAAATTTTCTAGCAAATTCTGAAGGCCATTACAAAAATTCTCCACTTATAAAAATGGAAAAAACACACATGAAATAGCTTTAAAGGCACATAAAAGAGATATTAAATTGAATACAGCATTCTGCCATTACATAAAATAAAAACAAACCAAAACCTATACATAGAAAACAGCCGGCAATACAACAAAATATTTGTTTTCTGGGTAGTAACATGATTCTTTTTTCCTTCTACTTTAAAATAATCTTCTAAATTTGATATGATATAATGCAGATATACAACTTTTATTTTGGAAAAATGAATTTTGTTTAAAAATCAAATAAAGTGATAAAATGTCTGTTTATTTTTAATCAGTAACACATACATACAAAGACACATGACAATACTGAGTCATATCCTCATCCAAAATAGAGCTAAAATCACCAAAACAAACCAAAAAACTTTCTGCCTTGCTTTTTGTATAATTTTTAAAGTATTTTAGTTTGTGGTTTTTTCATTTTGATGTCAGTTTATTTGCTAGCTAAAGTTATATTAGAACTTAACCTTACTCTAATATTTTCTCAAGTTGATCATCCCATAAAATTCTATTTGACGGTGTAGACCAAAAAAGTGATAATTTAATAAATCATAAATTCCTAACTGTGCAGGTCGTGGTAGGTAGTCTTGTCCCAGGCCTAAAATGTCTTTAGTGAAAGGGTTTTTTTATTTGCCCATATTATTCAAAATCATTGGGGTAACAATAAAATCAAATAAGTTTCAAGTGTACAGTTCAACAGTATGTCATATATATTGCATTGTGTGTTCACCACCTACAGTTAGATTCCTTCCATCACCAAATATTTGAACCCTTTTACCCCTATCTACCTCCCCCTTCCCCCTTCACTCTGGTAACCACTAATCCATTGTCCCTATCCATGAGTTTCTGTTTGTTTGTCTTGTTTGTTGGTTTCAATTTTATATCCCACATATGAGTGATATCATGTGTTTTTCAACTTTTTCTAACTTATTTCACTTAGCATGATAATCTCAATATCCATCCATGTTGTCGCAAATGGCAGTATTTCATCTTTTCTGGTGGCTGAGTAATATTCCATTGTATATATGTACCACCTTTTCTTTATCCAATCATCTATAGTAGGACACTTTGGTTGCTTCCATGTCCTGGCCACAGTGAATAATGCTGCTATGAACATGGGGTACATGTATCTTTGTAGATAAATGTTTTCAGGTTTTTTGGGTAAATACCCAGAAGAGGGATTGCTGGATCATACAATAATTCAATTCTTAGTTTTTGGAGGAATCTCCATACTATTTTTTATAATGGCTGTACCAATTTGCAGTCCCACCAGCATTGTATGAGGGTTCCTTTTACTCCACATCCTCTTCAAGACTTGTTATCACTTGTCCTACTGATGATAGCCATTCTAGCAGGTGTGAGATGGTATCTCATTGTGGTTTTGATTTACATTTCCCTAATAGCTAGTGAAGTTGAGCATCTTTTCATAGGTCTGTTGGTCATCTGTATGTCTTTTTGGAACAAGTGTCTGTCCAGGTCTTCTGACCATTTTATTCAGATGGTTGTGTCTTTGCCTTGTTGATGGTTTCTTTTACTGTGCAGAAGCTTTTAAGTTGATATAATCCTATTCATTTATTTTTGCTTTTACTTCCCTTGCCTTTGAGGTCAAATTCATAAAATCCTCTTTAAGCCCAAGGTCCATGAGTTTAGTACCTATGTTTTCTTCTATGCATTTTATTGTTTCAGGTCTTATATTCAGGTCCTTAATCCATTTGGAGTTAATTTTGGTATATGGTGATAGCAGTCTACTTTAATTCTTTGCCATTTATTGAAGAGGCTGTCCTTTCTCAATTGTATGTTTTTGGCGCTTTTGTCAAAAATTATTTGCCCATATAAATAGGAGTTTACTTCTGGACTCTCGATTCTGTTCCATTGTTCTGTGTGTCTATTTTTCTGCCACTACTATGCTGTTTTGATTAACATTGCTTTGTAGCATAATTTGAAGTCAGGTAGAGTGATGCCTCCAGCCTCGTTCTTTTTTCTCAAGACGGCTTTGGCAAATTCAGATTAAAGCCAGCCCTACATAAGTGCATTGCATTTTAAAGAAATGAGTCATTTTAACTATAAGTAAGCATTTTATTTGGGGCTGATTATTCTCAAATCTTTTCTCTTTTAGTGTTCAGGTATCTTAGGACACAGAATATGAGGGAGGAAGGAACTTAAAGATGACCTTCCAGAGTGGACAAATTTATTCAGGTCAAAAATTAGGATAAACAGGTGACTCACAGCTTTTCTTGGACGACAGCCCTCCTCCCTCCACAAGGTAGGTACAAAGATAAAATGAGATAATGTGTGTAAAGCACTGAACTTAGTTATTATCGCTGACTGGTTAGCACTCAATAAATGGTATCTATTATCATTTCATAAACTTCTCTGTTGGATGACATGCTTCCCTGTCATTCGATATCTAGCTACAACTTTACACTTAATGGCTGCATGATTGTTGTTTGTTATGTACCATAATTAATTTAACCAATCTTTCTATTATTCACAAAACAACCTTATAGCTACATCATTGCACACATCCAGGTAAACTCCAGAAGGGGAATTGCTGGGGTAAAAGATTATGCTCATTAAAAATTTTTTAACACACTTAGCCAATCTTCCCAGAAAAAGTTTGTGCCAAATTCAGTCTCCCAACAATTTAGAAGGTTGTTTATTCTCCTAAACTCTCACAAATACTGAATAGAATAATAAGTTTAATTTAAAATTTTTGATATATGACAAATGGCATATCAATGTTTTAATTTATGTTTCTTTGACTTAGTGAGTGAAAGTAAACTTTTTTAACATTTAATGATCATTCGTGGTTTATTTTTAATTTTTCTATGTAAGGCCTTCTCATTTCTTTCTATTAATTTTTTAGGTGGCAGAACAAGTAAACAGAAAGAGTCTGGATCTCTAATGATATCGTTGATCTGCTGGGCTATCTCCAAGCTACTTTTAAAGTCACTGTCACATTTTATGTGCCTTGCAATCAAACCACAGAATTATCAAAATTAAACTTTCTTTACAATTCTAATTGAAGGTTTAGGGGCCATCTAGAGTCCCTACCCTTGACACACACATTGGAGATCTTAGATGGGCACTGGCAGGGCTGAGGTGTCTCACTGTGTTTTTTGCAGGCAGTGTGCATGGACATAAATAGACAGATAAGGAAGATGTCCTCCAGTGAAGGGAGCAGATAGACTCATTCGTGAAATCACTCGAGCCTCGCTTTTGAAAATTTCAAAAAATAACTGGGAGAATTTGGGGTGAGGTAATACTTTCCAATAATTAAATCAGTGAGGGGCTTTTTGGTATGGTTTTCATGAGGATATCAGTGCTTGGCGGAGTGTCAGCAATAGATACAGGCAAAAGATACACATTCATTTAATGTTGATAAAGGATATGGTTTATTACATAGAATGGCAACCAAAGCAGTCTTTTCATTAAAGGAAGAAACTTCCTGGGCCTGTAACTCCATGAATCAGGTGCCCTACTGTTACAGTTGGAGTGATTTGAACTTTGGTGTTGTCGCAACGTCATGGGAGGGGGGCAGATAACGGTGCAAAAGTATAGTTAGTATTTTTCCTCGGTTCTTCCTCATTGATGCAGTGAAGAAGCACAGGTCAGTGAGATTTAGAAAAGATTTATTAAAAGT